CTAGCCTTCTACTTTCTGTCCCTTCCTACTCCTTGGCCTTTCTCTCCCATTCATCCCTTTATCTTGCTGTGTCTCTCTTAATTCGCTATTTCTTTTCCCTCTACCTCTTACCTCTATGTTATCCGCCCCACCCCCAGCTTTGTTCTTCCTCTCTCCTTTTGCCTGACTTTCTTTCCTGTCCACTGAACAGCTGAAGGAGAACCTGATGCCCTGGCATTTTCAACCTTATATTAAAAACATCTATTCTGAAAGAGGCAGGGGAGTTGAGAGTTACGTGGATGTGACTGGAGATTCCCAGCATGTTGGGAACCACTGTTCCGGAACAGAGACACATTGTTCGTATGCAGCATCAGCAAGCGTGACTAGATCTCACCACTGATCGAGGCAGGCCCAAAATGCAATCTAGAACCTGTCCAATACTCTCATGTTGCCGACTGCTGCAGGGGAAGAGGTCATGGTGATCAGATGGGAAGGAAGCTTCTTGACCCCCCATTGCTCTTTGCATTGAGGAACCACTGACGAGGTTCTAAGGCTGTATCATATTTCGTGGCATGGAAGATCCATGATCGGATGGCACCATTATTTGAGATCAAAGTTTCACAACAAAGTGAAAGGGATTTTGTATGAATTAATGTGTTTGTTTATTTATTTAGAACATTTTTATGCCGTCCCATTCGCAAAAAGCCTCGGGGTGGATTACAAAACAAATAAACAATCTTGCAATACTCTCAAAAATCTGGAGACATCTCGGCACCGATATAAAAACCAATAAATACAATCAACAATTAGCAAATAAAATAATGTTTAAATAAAAAGGTCTTGGCCTGGCGCCGAAAAACAAATAATGACAGCGCCAGGCGGACCTCTCTGGGGAGCGCATTCCATAGATTGGGCGCCACCGCAGAGAAGGCCCTCCTCTGGATACTCACTCTCCTAATATCTTTCACGGAGGGTACCCGGAGAAGGGCCTCTGCCGCTGATCTCAAGGGGCGGGAGGGCATATATGGACGCAAGCGCTCCTTCAGATACCCAGGTCTCAAGCCGTTGAGGGCTTTATAGGTGATAACCAACACCTTGAATTGGGCCTGGACTTCAATGGGGAGCCAGTGGAGCTGACAGAGGACTGGGGTTATATGAGAACAACGCCCAGCCCCTGTCAGCAGCCTGGCAGTTCTGTTTTGCACCAATTGAATTATCTGGACTGTTGTCAAGGGTAGCCCCATATAGAGTGTGTTACAGAAGTCTAATCGGGAAGTTACCAATGCATGTGTCACTGTCACCAGGCAATCGTTCTCCAGGTAGGGACACAGTTGATGGATCAGCTGAAGCTGAAGGAAAGCGCTCCTCGCCACCGCCGTCACCTGAGCTTCTAATGACAGCTCAGGGTCGAGGAGCACTCCCAAGCTGCGAACCCTGTCCCTAAGAGGGAGTGCAACCCCATTCAGGACAAGGTCCAGGTCCCCTACCCTGAAGCCCGGACCACCTACCAACAGGACCTCCATCTTGTCTGAATTGAGCTTCAGTTTATTGGCCCTCATCCAGCCCATTACCTCGGCCAGGCACTGGTTCAGTACAGCCACCGCCTCACCTGGATTGGTTGAGAACGAGAGGTAGAGCTGGGTATCATCAGCGTACTGATGATTCCGCAGCCTACACCTCCTGATGACCTCTCCCAGTGGTTTCATGTAGATGTTGAATAGCAAGAGGGGCAAAATGGACCCCTGCGGAACTCCATGGCATAGCTGCCATGGCACAGAGCCATAGTCCCCCAGCACCACCTTCTGGAATCGGCCGTTGAGATAGGAGTGGAACCACTGCAAAGCAGTGCCTCCAACTCCCAATCCCACTAGCCTATCCAGAAGGATACCATGGTCGATGGTATTGAAAGCTGCTGAGAGGTCCAGGAGGACCAAGAGGGACGCACTCCCCCTGTCTCTCTCCCTGTACAGGTCATCGTACAGGGCGACCAAGGCAGATTCAGTACCATACTGGTCTGAAGCCAGACTGAAATGGGTCCAGATAATCAGTCTCATCCAAGAGTGCTTGGAGTTGTCCCGCCACCACCCACTCTAACACCTTGCCCAAGAACGGGATGTTGGCCATCGGTCTGTAATTGGTGGCCATCTCTGGATCCAGGGATGCCTTCTTTAGGACTGACCGGACTACCGCCTCCTTCAAAGGGGCACGTGCCCGGCCATCCCTCAGAGAGGCGTTGACAACCTCCAGGATCCAGGTCCCTATCCCATCCTTGGCTGTCTTGAGTAGCCAAGATGGGCAAGGGTCCAGTAAGCAGGTGGTGGGACATACTCATCCAAGCACCTTGTCCACATCATCAGGCTGCAACAACTGAAATTCATCCATCAATTGTGGACCAGACGGCAACATTGGCACCTCCCCAGAAGGTTCTGAGTCACTAGTGGAGTCCAGCTCTTGACAAATCTGAGCGATTTTCTCCTTGAAATGCTTGGCAAAGTCATCACAGCGGGCCTTCAAGGGTGGCACGGGATCTTTCTTGGGGCCTGGGTGAACCAGCCCCTGTACCACCTGAAAGAGCTCCACCGGATGGCATTGTGAGGAGGCAATGGAAGTGGAGAAGAATTTCTTCTTCGCCGCCCTCACCGCCACAGCATAGGCCCGATAATGGGCTCTTAAGTGTGTTCGGTCAGAACCCATGATTTCCTCCACCTATGCTCTAGATGTCTCCCAGCCCGCTTCATCGCCCATAGTTCAGATGTATACCAGGGGGATGAACAGGCTCTGCCAGGCAGGAGAGGACACTTAGGAGCGATTGTGTCAATAGCCCTGGTCATTTCCCCATTCCACAGTTCGACCAAGGCATGGGCAGGAGCACCAGCCTTATGGGAATTCCCCCAGGGCCTTCAGGAATCCATCCAGATCCATCCGGCTCCGGGGGCGGACCAGCACAATCGGGTCCACACCCTTACAGAGGGAAAGGCCGCTCTTGAGCTCAAACCTCATGAGGAAGTAGAATGTATAAACCGCCTTATATTTGAAACTGACTTTCAAATGGTGAACAATAAGGAACAACTATAAAAATGGAAAAGAATAAAAATATTTTAAAGCAAGTTGTATTGATTAAGTTAGTCACTCAGAGCAAACATTAGAGTACGTAAGCCTGGGGCTGACTGGGCTGCCCCTAGAGGTAGACCTCTGGCCCCATTGTAGGCTCACTGGCTCCACCACTCTTCTCCTGACCTTCCAGCTTGGACATTGGACTTGCTTGTAGTGGCCTGAAACAGGCAAAGGGAACTGCGGGAAGCATGGCTCACTGCTGGGAGGCCACCATGGTGCTGTTGGGCCCCGTGGTCACTTGAAGGCTCAGCAGGAGAGCAGTGGTGAGAAAAAGGAATCAAGTAGGGAAAGGGTTAGGAGTCATCCATGGGCAGGTGAAAGGTCTCCTTGTCTGAGAGAGCACATGTGACAGGAAGGAGGAGGAAGAGGAGCTGTGGCAAGGGAAGGCACACTCTCCTCGGCTCTGGGAGCAAGTGATGACATCAAGGATGGTCATGACTGGGTCCATTCCCAAGAGTTCTCTGGCATTGCCCTCCTTTTCAGCATTACAGCTTGTCTCTTGCTCTAGACAGACAATGGAGGTAATGAAGAGGAGTAAATGCTGTTCCTCATCTGCTCCCTGGCTCTCTGCCTGCTAAGCAAGCAAGTAGTAGTAATGATGAGAAAGAGGAGGTGGTGGAACAGCAGACTCAGCAAATGAGTCTAATTAAGCTGCCTTGCCCAAGGGCCTCAGAAACCTGGAGCTGGCACTGTGTGCTGGTGCATGACATAACCTGAGCAAGAGGCGGGAGGAGGACAAGCAAATGACGGATGGCTAAGCACCTTTTCCTATAGGAGGAGCTCTTCCCTCCTTCAGGGACAGGGAATTGAAAAGTGTAAAGATGAGATCCTCCCTTGTCACAATTGTTCCTGACATTGCTGCATTGTTTATCTTGATATTCATACCTGAAGTCATTTGATATTTGATATTGTTCTTTGATATTATATTTTCAGTTTTGATTCACTGGATTATGTATTTTTTATTTTGGATTTTGGTAAAATGTATGTATTTAGGAATTTGCAAACTACTCAGAGAGCCCAAAGAGCTATGGAGTGGGATAGAAACATAAATTGAAATGAAAATGAAAATGAAAAGTTTCAAAGCATGGGAGAAAGGGGGAACTGGAGAGCTCAGAATGTGAGTTCTGTTTCCAGTTCTCAGAACTTGAGTTCCACAGGATTCAGAATATTCCAGACTTGGAAAAGGTACAAAAATGTGTAATGACTGAGGGGCTGGAGGAACTTCAACAACAGGAATGTCGAGGAATAGAGGCTCGCAAAACCAAACCCAACTAAAATGCAGCTGCTGTCTCTTCACAGTTTGTGATCCATTTTGAGAATCTCTCTCTATCAAGAGCAATTCTTATTCCATTGATAACTTCCTAATGCTCCTAAATCAGAAATAGCAACTTCCTTACAAAAATAATATATATATATATATTTAATTTTTAAAAAATGTATGGGACTCGTTAGTTTAGAAAAAATGTACAGTGGGGTGGGACAGAGCATGTATAAAATTCTACATGGTATACAGAAAGTGAATAAAAATATGTTTTTCATCCTCTCTCACAGTATCAGAAGTTGGGGCCATCCCATGAAGATGATTGGTAAGATATTCATGTTCTTCAGTTTCCTCAACTTATTGCAATAATCGACATAACATTTGAATCAGTGCAGCCCTATCCCAGTATACATTAACTATTCCTAAGTACAGAAGAGCGTTTACTCTGGCCTGCTTTAGTGTGGTACCACCAGCCCTGTTAAAAGGATGACGTTAGAAGCATGTTAAAAGACTCCAGTCCATGAACAGTTTTGTTTTTGTGCTGCTGGAACAGTCGACTCGGTCGAGCATCCTTTCTGTCCCTCATACACACAGAGAAAGAGAGTCCCCTACTGCAGCTGATGCATGGACACTTTTTTCCCATCTCAACAAATGAGGAGGTCTGAATGCCACGCACGCTACCTTCCTCATGTAAATTGTACTCCCACCAGATTGCCAAAGAGCTGCTTGATGGGTTGGTCAGGAACCACCATCCCTGGAGGATTCTGACCCCTTGTCCTGAGAAGAGGTTGTGAAGCTTCCATCTTCCTAGAACCAGTTTTTCCAGAGGAAGCTAAGGGGGTGTCCCCCACATGCAGAAGAAGTTCCATTACCACCCGCAGGTCATAAAGGCACATTGTCCCGACCTGAGATGGTTGTGACAGACCAGGCCTCTTGAAGGCAATGTAGAGCTAGGAGACCAGAATTTTCTGTTTAAGCTTCAGTCTTGTTCTGAAGTTTATTGAAACAACATACAGACAACCCTGAGTGGCTTCCAGCCCCAGCACCACTTGGAACTTCCCAAGGTGTAGCTCTCTTACCACTGATTCTTCCTAAAGAATCAGACCTGGCCTAACTTGATCTCTGCCCAAGGTCTGACCCCTAGCAGAATTCTTTTCACCCAAGCTACACCACAGAGTATAAATAGAATCCATGGTCTGAAATGGGGTACATGATTTAGCCAGAGTGATGTTGCATAGAGAGAACCATCCAGATCATCTAGGTAACTTTATTCCGTTTCTCTCGCCCAAGCTGGACCAGGACAAGGCAAGAAAGTGGCACTGGAACCAACAGGAGATGTTGAGAGGAGAAGGAAAGTGCATGACCATTGGCATATGTAGTCCTCAGGATCTTAGAATAAGCTTGGGTTATACTGGAACAACTTCTGCTGCTTCTAGGTGAACGCCCAGGTCCTATAGTGCCTCAGTGCAAGCAGCTTTCTGTTGTCTATGGCCCATTCGATGTGAGTGAGAATGATGGCTGCTTTGGTGCCCATTCTCAAGGACTGCTGGCTGGATCGCAGAAGAATCAGAATCAGAAGGTGCTGAAGATCAGGAGTGGGCCTAAGAAAGTGGGACTTGAAGCTTGTCTCAGGGACAGACTCCCCAGGTGGCAGGCAGCCTCTGAGAATAACAGCTGGTGGGAAGGGACTTGGGACAGGGGAGATTCTCAGACTCAGATGGGGCAGGCATGATTCTTCACCCCATGACACACCCCTGCCAATTAGAGGATCAGCACACAGAGAGGAGGAGTGCCTGCTCTCAGAAGGCCCCTCCTAAAGGGTTGGGGGCCAGACATGCTTGTAAGGCGAGTTCCTGGAGGTGAATACGAGGCTGGGTTCAACCAACCACTCTGTGTATGCTCAGAGATACATTCTGGGTGCTTTGTGCCTGTTGGCCACTAAAGAATGATTTGCAAGGAAAAAGGCCTGTGGCTTTTGAATGTGCAAAGGAGGAACCTCGGCTCACAGCAGCCCCTTCCTCAGCACTGCTCCCTCTCGCTACGTCCTGCTGCAGGCTGCCAGTGTCCCTCCATGTCACCTTCTTCTCAGGCCTGGCCAGGGCTGGCCCAAGACATTTTGTCACCCGAGACAGTCGATGAAAGGATAACCTCATGCCTCCACTCCAACTGCAGAAGTACAGTCCAAGCAGAGTGCCCATTGAGCCTTACTGACTATCTCCTCCAAACCCCCTGCCGCGACTCTGTGGCTCCCCAGCGACTGTCCCACTCTGCCTAAAGATAGGTCCAGGTTCAAAATTTGCCCAGCCGTCTGCGGTCACTCAGCCATGCTGCTTGCACAAGGATCATCATACAAATAGATGTCTGATGGTTGTTTGCTAAGAGAAAAGGGGGAAGAAGGGACTATCCGTATTAATTATACTTCTAATCCACCCAATAAGTAATATTCTCTGTTGCTGGTTTAGATCAATAACTTAATGTAAAATATAGAAAGGGCTAAACAAAAGCTGACATATCCTAAATGGCTAAGCTACATCAAAATGGAAATAGAAACATAGAAACAGAGCAAGTCAGAAGGGGTCTCCCGGGTCATCTAGTCTGACCCCCGGCTCCAGCTGGCTCCCCTCATGATACGCCTACTATGTGCATACCCAGCCTATCCTGGAACACCCTCACCGGTGGGGCTTCAACCACCCACTGTGGAAGCCCATTCCATGCCCCGGGGGTTCTAACCATCAGGAAGTACTTCCTGGCATTCAAACTGAACCTTGGTTCCCTGAGCTTTGCTGCACTGGAACATGTCCTACCCTCCACTGCAGGGGGAAAGGGGTCAAAACCCACCTCTGTGTGCCACCCCCTCACATACCTGCATGTCACTAACAGGTTCCCTCTGAGTCTCCCCTTCTTAAGGCTGAAGAGTCCCAGTTCCCTCAGCCACAGACAGCCATGGACATTCACTCTGACTTCGGACTCAAGGGGGGATCTGCCTGCTGAAAGACAGTGCAACTCACATCACTCAGAAGACAGCACAACCCATAATGAAGGGTTAAGATTGTGCTGAGTAAGGGTTGTCACAGAACTGTGTGTCGTACTGTGGATTATTGTGTTGTCTGACCCCCGCTGTACTAACAACCCATGGCTTGTTTATCACAAACAATCCAAGACAAGAAGCCATGGTTTGTTGCTGAGTTGTAAACTGTGAGTTCTTCCCCATGGTTTGTTATCTCAGCCACATTCAGGCAACACAATAACCCATGGCTCAGCAACAACCCACACTCAACCATTGAATATGGGCTATAATCTTCCCTGTACCCATTCAGCGCAATGTGCAGACATGACAGAATGGATGCCTATTGTGAAAAGTTCTTCACACTGATAATGCCTCCTAGAGATAGTCCAACTTCTCTCAGCTTTGTAAATATGTTTCCATCTTTGCTTTAGACAAAAGTCAATAGAGGCTGATTCTTCTCTTCTGCTGCAGTGCTATCCTCAATTAGTCAAAACCAATTTGACCAGTTAGTCAAACCAAAACTTGCCCAGCTGTTGTGTGGCTTCACATGCAGGACTCCTCTGCTTCAGCTTCCCCTCTTCCGACTTCGGTTAGTTCTTTATAATTTCCCCTCTGTGATTTGAGCTCATTCGCCAAATGTGCCAATTCCAGCACGGCAATGATTTCGTTTGGAGTAGCAAGGTGGGCCCACATGCATGATCTCTTACACTGGGTGGGGTGGGGGGTGAGGAGCACATGTTAGGCTTGCTTTTAAATTATGATCTTCCAGGAATATGTTGCAGTAGGTGGGGTCACTGGTTATTCAAGGGTGAGATCTGTACAGCTATAGATATTGAGATTTTTTATTTTTTATTTCTTGCATAGCAGAGAGCACACACACCATGAAACTGGAGCAGGATGAAGCACACAAAGCCATCTGGGGATGGAACAATGCGTGTGCTAGCAAAGGTAACAGTGACTGAAGGGCAAACATGCTTTAATAAGTGTAGGGAGATACTGTTTTTACTGTTTGGTGTATGAGCATGGAAATATTCCTGCTCTGCAGAGAATTTGTTCTAAAGCTTTGTATGCATAGTCTGAAGTGCCTGATCCTGCCTAATCTTGCAAGCTTAGCAGAGCTGGGCTTGGTTGAAATCTGGATGGGTGACAAAAATGTTGTGAACTGGCCAGAGAGCTTTGTCTACAGGTGGTATAGAAATTTAATGTAATAATAATGTATATTTATTGTATTTTACTAAACTGAAGAATATAAATCAATGCTAAACACAAATCAGTATTTCAGCTGCTTCGGAACCTTTTTCATAATTACTTTTACAGTAAATTAAAACTGAAATATAATATGGTAACTAAAACAGAAAATTAAAATGAGGCAGGGAAATGGGTTTCAGATTATCAGAATGATCATGCCAGAGAATAAACCAAGCATAAACCAAGTGGTTGGATTCAAGACAAAGCAAAGTACAAAAACTGAGAACAAAAACAAAAGCATAGAAGAATAATATAGCAATAATCGAGGTAGAATCTGATCAAAGAATGAATCAAGAGTTGGATTGCATTAGAAAAAAACGATGAGATCAAACATTGGTAATAATCTCGGAGGTGAAAATGAAAGTTAGGTCTGCATGGCCAGAGAGGGCTAGAGATGAAAAATGAGTGAGGATGGCCCAGTGAATTAGACCAAATCCCTAAAGCATTTTTTTCTTTTTTTGCCCATTTGCAATCCTGCCAAATTTTAATCTAGAAGCAGCAACCATTTAAGCCACACTCTTCCTTCTAAGAGACAAAGGTTCAGCCTGCACAGTGCCTGTTTTCAGGAAGACTGAAAACATCCAGTCCATCTGGAGACTGGTGTTTGCCCTTTTTAGGACCCTAACTTTCCTACCACCAGGTAAAGGGCAGCTAAGAGAAAAGCCCACCGGCACTGATGTGGGAGTAGCGGGTGGGTTGTGTGAATGCACAGATGACCACTCAAAGAACAACAGTTACAGATAGGCAACCTGTCTTTCTTCTTTGTGGCCTCAATGCATCACACATGTGGGTATCTATCAAGTGTACCAATGAAGGTGTTGGGAGGTGTAGTCATTGAAGGATGGATGACAGAATGGCACGGCTGGAAGAACAGTCTTGTCTGACCTTTACTTCAGGCCAATAGTGGTGGATGAATGTGGATGGTGTCAACCATGTAGCTGCCCTGCACAATGCATCTAATGATATGCCTGCGTGGAGAGCTGTCGATGCTGATACTACTCTGGTAGAATGGGCTTTGGGTTGTTCTGGCCAGTCCAAGTTTGCTAGTTGGTATGCTAATTTAATTGTCTTTATGATGCCATGCACTAGGTGTTGTGAAATGATCAGCTCTCCTTTGGACTGGTCTACCTATTTGATGAATAGGCATGTCATCTTGCAAATTTATTAGGTATGGGATTGGTAAAATGCCAATGCTCTATGGACGTCTAACGTGTGAAGAGTTCTTTTGATGTCTGTATAGGGTGATGGATGGAATACTGGAAGCAGCATTTCTTAATTTAAGTTGAAGTTAGAAGAAACCTTAGGGAGGAAGGCAGGGTCCATACGGAGGACCATATTCTCTTTGTGCAACATGATGGATGACTGATTGGATGGAAGGATTTGGGTTGTTAAGATCCTTCATGGATTGTCATGAAGGGGGTTTGAGAAGGTTGAGGAGTCTTCAGTGGGACCCTGGGAGGTGGAGACTGCAGACAGGTACTCCTTGATAGAGCTGGGTTTAAGTCATTTTTGGTGCAGGCACTGCAGGAACTCTACTATCTTTTGTATGGATGCTGTGGTTGATTTGAATGAGTGATCCTTCACAAAACTCTTGGATTTGGCCCATTTGGTGGAATAAGAATGCCTAGTGTTAAGACACAGTGCTGCTTATAGGATGGTTTGGATTCAAGGGTCCAAGCAGTAGTTGTGGCCATTAAGTAATTGGCCATGTTGTCAGGGGAAGTTTTACAGTACGGGGCTGTAGACATTTCACGCTCCTCTTGGATGTTAGATTTAGAATTTTGAATAGGTATAGGAGCTTGTATGTTTTATGCAAAGATGGTCACGATAAAGGACAAAAATGGCAGGGACCTAACACAGGCAAAAGAGATTAAGAAGAGGTGGCAAGATTGCACAGAAGAAAGAAAGATCTTAATGTCCCTGATAACCATGATGGGGTGGTCGCTGACCTTGAGCTGGACTCCTGGAATGTGAAGTCAAATGGGCCTTAGGAAGTCTGAACAACAACAAAGCTAGTGGAGGAGATGGTATTCCAGCTGTGCTATTCAAAATACTAAAATACGATGTGGTTAAAGTGCTACACTCAATATGCCAGCAAATTTGGAAAACTCAACAATGGCCACAGGATTGGAAAAGGTCAGTTTACATTCCAATTTCAAAAAAGGGCAATGCCAAAGAATGTTCAAACTACCGCACCATTGCACTCATTTCACATGCAAGCAAAGTTTTGCTCACAGTCCTACAAGCTAGGCTCCAGCAGTATGTGGACCAAGAACTACCAGAAGTATAGGCAGGGTTTTGAAGTGGCAGAGGAACTAGAGATAAATTGCCAACATGCTGGATCATGGAGAAAGCTAGGGAGTTCCAGAAAAACATCTACTTCTGCTTCATTGACTATGCTAAAGCCTTTGATTGTGTGGATCACAATAAATTGTGGCAAATTCTTACAGAGATGGGAGTACCAGACCATCTTATTTGTCTCTTGAGAAACCTCTATGTGGGTCAAGATGCAACACTGAGAACTGGACATGGAACTGCTGATTGAGTTGAAATTGGGAAAGAAGTACAGCAAGGCTGTATAGTGTCCTCCCGCCTATTTAACTTATATGCATTAATGCAAAGTCCAAAACAGTGAAAGAGTAGAGCATGTATTTTTGATGGAATAGAGTAGGTCATTCTTAGGAGCAGATAAAAGTAGCCAGGCATGTAAGTAGGGGTAAAAGTGTACTCATTGGAGTCGCAAGTGTGTGCACACACCAGCCATACACATGGCAAATACTCTTGGTCCTGGGGTTGGACTGAATGAAAACAAATGGAATGCAAAGGAATCAGAACTGTCTTGGAAGGGGGTATAGTTGAGATGGATGCGTATATGGAAATACAAATTCGTCAAATCTATAGATGCGAACCAGCGTCCTCCTCATAGTAGAAGAATACGGTGTTGGACAAGGACCAATCGGATTGGCTGGTAAAATGCGCATAACTCAGGGCGGATCTTTGAAATGCCGCATTAGGGAAGGTTTTCTGAAGAGCTCATGGTTTCAACCCACTGTGAAGCCTTCCAAGGCTCAAGGCAGTGGGAAGATGCTCTTTTTGGAACCACCAGCGAACCCTGACCTTTCTCCTGAAAAGCCCATCAGGGCCTGAAATACACATGCCTGAATAGAGGTTTTCCGAAGGCAGGATTCAGCGGGATTTTTCTCACCAGCTCTTTTTATCCCTCTGCTCTGAACTTTTTTTCCTCTTCAACTTCTTCCTGGGGACCCCCGTTCTTAAAACTGGGTATCTTTTCTATATATCTCTTTCTGTCAGCCCACTCGGACAGCCTTCCATGTGTCATGGCAAAGGATGGGATGTTCTGTTTTTGACCTTTAGCCTATCATGTTCGTTTTCCTGGCATAGCCTTTTTTAAAAGGGCCATCTTTCTACTATTTTTTGATTTGGCATGTTTTTGTTTTGTACCTTTAGACTTTATTTCAACTGGATTGTCCTTCACTTACAGGATTCCTTTAGATATTGTCTGTCTTTTTTCCGTTCAGATAAAGGACGGCTCATCTCCAGGCCACTTCCAAATATCTTGATATTCCACTATTTTTTTCTTGCAAGGCTCCCCAGTTAATTCAGGGAGCCCTCTTTCTCTACATTTTATCCTCATACCTATTCTGCAATGTAGGTTAGGCTGAGATTGCGTGATTGTCCTAAAGTCATCCATTGGACCTAATGGCCAACTGATGGGTAGAATCTGGGTTTAAGTTTCCAACAGTCTAATCCCTCCCAACTCCAGCTGCATGACTGTCCTAAGGACATCTTTGAGGATAGGAACAACATAGGAAAAAGATCAAAACATTCTCTTTCCCAGCATTACTGGTCTTAAACATTTGAACCCTTCTGTGCTTGTTTCTCTAATCATTGCATGATCTAATAAAGATTTTCTATGTCATATGAATTTTGTGCTACAGAGTCCCAAGGTTCTTCAGGCCAGAAGTGGAATGCTAGTATTCACTTGGAGGTCAGTGCTGCATTTTCCGAATGAAAAGTCAGCCTTTGGGGTGGAGGATTCAAGGAGAGGTTGCCCATGGAGTTCATCATTGCCCAACCAATCTGAGACTCAGAGTCCTAAGTAACAGCTTAATGAACCTTTTCTGCAGGCATATTTACATAGCAATGCAAAATGATAGGATATGTTTCAACCAAGTCCTTCTGGGGCATGAGTCAGCACAGCAGATAGTGCAATCAGCTTTAGAAAGGCATTCACCTTGAAATGTATGTCAGGTGTTCTATAATTATGAGAAAATTATAGAACACCTGGGTTCAACAAACAGGTTCTGGTAAGCACATATGACAGATGCCAGAAGCATAATAAAGGTAACTTCCATTTTTCTAAGAAACAATGCACCAACAAATAGGGTTGCTGGGTTATTGCCTGGAGATTCTGTGTGGGCCTTTCAGTGCCCACAATCCAAGTTCACAGAGATACAGTTATGAAAGACATACAGTAGCTCAACATACTTTGCATCTGATTCACACATGATAACAAGCCATGGTTTAATTAACCACTGCTTGCTGAAGCATGGGTTCTTATTATGTATAAACCCCAAACTATAGGTTAATTACAAGTAATTAACCACAAACATTCCCCAAAGAGAACCCATGGTTTGTTGCAGGGTTGTAAAGTCTGTGTTGTAATTACCATTACATGT